ACTGGAAAATAACTAATGATTTCAGCTTTTAGTGCTCTCTTGGAGTTAAAATATTGGAAGAAACCTTTACTGTCATGCTTAGCCTCCAATGCAATTTTTCTTTCTACATCCCTCTTTGATAGCCTAATGTCATTTTTTAACTCTGCCTGTAGACTTAGATACTCCTGCTTGATTTTGAAATCATTAGTTATTTTCCAGTTGTGGAACAGAGCCCTTTTCCTCCTGACTTTATTCTTAATTTCCTTAGTAAACCACCTTGGTTGTCGTTTCCTGACAGACTCTTCTAGGTCAAACCAGAACACAAATCAACCTGAAAGGTTCTATGTGTTTATTTGTATCTACCACCATGTCCACCAAAGGATGGGCTATGCTATAGTAGACTGGTTTGAGCAGAGAGATCTGGCAGGTGAGCAAAATCCAGCAAACCCTGGGTAACTGCAGATGATAAGAGACTGGGCTGATCTGCCAGATGATCCAGAATGGACCAATAAAACAAAGAGCCAACTTATAGCAGGATGGGGTTTTGGGTGGACAACCACACCTGGTGACAATCAGCTTGTATCTTCTGGAGCTGGGCCTAGAACTTCAGCTGCTGATGGACTCGTTTCCATGTTTGCTCTTGTGGTACCTTCATTGTACAGAAGGTACTGAGCTGGGCTGAGAGTCCCACGGGAACGGAGGTGCCTGCCCTGAATGAGAGAGTTACGGGTGTACTCAGCCCAAGGGAGGTACCTGCCCACTCTGTCAGTCAGGAGACACACAAAAAACCAGGTGTCTAAGCCACCTCCTGGTTCATCCTCTCCAGAAATCTGTTCGTTTATGGATGTTATTTTGAGGAATTCAAATGGAGCAAAAAGCCTGGAAGACTCAGGCTGTGAATTAGGGTCCACGATAACAGACTATGTCCTCTGGAACACCATAGTAAGGGAACATTCAGCTACCTGAGTAGCCGAGGGTAATTTAGACAGGGACATGAGTCTACACTAGAGCTGTAATGTTCGGTTCCTTTTTATGATTCGGCTCATTCTGAGTCACTCACTAAACTGATCCGGTTGTGCGATTCACTTGAGTCACTTGAGTCAGTATTGCCAAATTGCCAGTCAAAACATTTGTTTTTCATAAAAGAAAGTATACCTGGCTTGTGATGAGAATGAATGTACTTTGAAATAAATGACAAAGTATTAAGACAAGAGTGGCAAATATTTATTTTCAAGTGGCACACACCAAAAAATCATACAAAATGTAAACACACATGACAACATGACAACAAATGGAACAAAAATGCAAAATGTGCAAATTACTTAGAACATAGCCTAAGAATGAAATGTCAAATAAAAGCTGCCAATGAAAGAAGAATGCAAAATGTACTAATAAAATAAAATAATATATATGCAAAATGTGCAAATTACTTAGAACATAGCCTAAGAATGAAATGTCAAATAAAAGCTGCCAATGAAAGAAGAATGCAAAATGTACTAATAAAATAAAATAATATATATGCAAAATGTGCAAATTACTTAGAACATAGCCTAAGAATGAAATGTCAAATAAAAGCTGCCAATGAAAGAAGAATGCAAAATGTACTAATAAAATAAAATAATATATATGCAAAATGTGCAAATTACTTAGAACATAGCCTAAGAATGAAATGTCAAATAAAAGCTGCCAATGAAAGAAGAATGCAAAATGTACTAATAAAATAAAATAATATATATGCAAAATGTGCAAATTACTTA